TGTGACGTTTTAATTAACCAGTACTTACTGTGATTGCTTGAGAACATAATCATGACTAATTGTTTTCACAATCAATTAGATTCTATTCGGAATTAACAAGTACTTTTGCTGAATGAATGTCATAGTTTTTACCTTCGCGAGCTGTGTACCTACCATGAGTTTACGTTAGGTGTGCTCGCTAGCGAGTACGTCAAAAATCTCTATGAAGATTTTGTTTCTTGCAAGTAGCCACTAGGGGCGCTGCACAATATGTCATACAATTAATGTCAATTTTTTTACGCAGTCGCTAGCGAGCACACCTAACGTAAACTCATGGTAAGCACACTGTTCCCGCGACTTCGTACGGGTGGAAATAGTTTTCCTCAATAAATGGGCTATACACAGAAAGAACACAAAAATATTTTTTTAAACCGGACCAGTAGTTCCTGAGATTAGCACGTTCAAACAAACAAACTCTAAGTTTTTAATATTAGCATAGAATAATAGAAACAAAAGACGATAGGTAATTAACACGTTTTAATTTTGTTATTTGTACAGTCTTTCTTAGGCAAAGTTATTATAAAATATTCATTTGTTTGTCAGCTCGGTTGACAGAAATCACGACAGTTGACACGTGAGTGTGTTGTGACACCTCGGAACGGATTAATAAAAAGTTTTTTAGGGCTGGGTTGCACCATCTTACTTTAACTTTGAATACGTCAAAAATCTGTCAAAATCCATACAAAAAGCACCGGTTATCGTCAAAGTTACGGTGAAAGATGGGTGGTGCAACCCAGCCTAGGTCTTTCTAAGTAGTAAATTATGTTGTAAAAAACTTTATTTATAGGTTCATTCCAGATGACATACTTTTGTGTTGAAAAATAGTGAAATATGTTTGTAGATTTTTTTTTCAAATGTAGCATTATTTTTAGATTTAAATAATTTTGATTTTAATTTTGGTAAATTAATATAGTTTAATTAAAGAAACGAACGAACGAAAATAAATACTTTTACTATTTGTTTAAACTATAGGGACATTATAATACCAAGCACTTTTATGTAGATGCATTTAATCGAGGTTTTTAATTGCGTCAATTTAAATAAGTCAATATAAACGGAACAGATTGATGACTGAACATAAATCAATTGAGCGTTGTTTTGTAACGGATCCAAAACATGACTCAATCACTTCAGAACTTCAAATTTAGTGGATGATTATTGGTCAAAGTAATGTTAATTTTGTCTTCATCAATGTCCAAAGTTACCAGTTTTCAAACAAAAGTTACTATTGAGACCAAGAACACTAATATTCTGTCGTTAACTGTACAGTCAGCGTCAAATAGTTCGTGACACCCAAAGTAGCCAAAAAGTTCGCATCACATTTTTTTTTATCCACAACGAGGAAGCTCTTGGTCTGTATCTCACCTGATGGTAAGTGACGATCAGGCCGAAGGTGGAAGCGAGCTTCACCCGGAATCCTCAACCACGGAGGAACTGGCTATCTTAACCTCTAACTGCCGGAACACAATAATGCTGTTAACATTTTTGTAATGGCGACAGACTTAGGTAAGATGGTGGTAGCTAGCTAGCCAGGCGGACTTAGAACAAGCCCTACCACCAACCAAACCGAACAGAAAAATCTGCCCCCACTGGGAATCGAACCAGGGCCTCTGCGTCTGAAGCAGGTGGTCTTACCACTAGACCACAGAGGCGGTTAATCTTTGTTACATTGGAATAAGGTTGTGACATCTTTTAGCCACTTTGAATGTTTACGAACTATTTGACGCCGACTGTACAGTATTGATTACTCCAAAAACTATTCCTTTACGATTGTCATTTTTAAAATTGCCCTCTTCAAACTGTAATGACGTCTAATTGCGCTTGACAAAATAGGCTGACGTCATTGACTCGTTTTTGAAACAGTGCTCTCTTATGTATCAGTAGGTGCGCTAAATTATACTAGTTTAGAATTTACTCATCAAGCTTCATCATCGTCATCAGGTCATTTAGTTTTCATTGCAGGAGAGAAGACCCTTTTTCTTTACCAGAGGAGAATTAAGCCTACACTCCTTTGCTGACGGGTTGGGGATGTCTGATGTTACGAGAAGCAATTAAGGGATAAATATTTGTATAACAGGAAGAATGGGAGTGATTCTATTCTACTGGGTTTATCCAGTGTCTAAGTAGCTCAGTTGCCCGGCAAGCGAAAGTTCGTGGGTTCGATTCCCACCTTAGACAGTTCGATTTTTTTAAGTTTCTTATTAAAAACGTACTACTAAGTACTAAGTAGTATCTCTGGCGCTAATCTCCTACAATATAAAATACATACAGGAACTTTTGGGCGCATTGTTTTTGACACTTGTTTTTAAACTGGAATTAATAATAGGTATAGTCAGCATCAAATAGTTGACACCCAATGTTGACAACACAACGAAGACGTGTTGTGAACTTATTGGCTACTTTTTGGATGTCACGGGCTGTTTGACGCTGACTGTAGAATCAGCGGGGTTACTCCGAAAAACGTTATCCGAAGTTTCGAATGTTGCCATCCTTCTCACGCAAAGCGCGATGCCAGCATGAGCGAGGGTGACAGATAGACCCGTGACTACGTGAATAGCGTTTCGGGGTAGCCCTGCTGAAAGCAAGTCGATTCATTCAATTCAAGTGGGCCTTCTACTCCTAATCCTTTTTTAATCTATGGCTGGCATGCAGTATTAACATAATGAGTTCATTATGCTAACGACACCTATTTTGAGACAGGGAGGTCAATGCTTGAAGAGGAATTAGACAGGATAGGCTTGTCCCAGTTATTTTTTTAAGGTTGGATAGAGACAGCTGTTGTGGCCAACATTGATACTTGCGTCATGACGTGTACTTCAAATAGTTAATTAGGACTAACTATTATAGCCCTCAAAGTGTGTGAAATGATAACCCGATGATTGACTGGTTCCTGGAGAACAAAAGGTGTTTAACCATTGTGTGGATGTAGTAATATAAATGTGAATCTATGCTCATATATGCGAAAGTAATGTGGTCTATTTGTTGGCGTTTTTGAGCGTAAATTACTAGGGTAGTTTTATGAATATTTTAGTAAGGTCACAGATGGAAAACAAGAAAAGGTTCAGTTCCTTCAGTTGCAAATATAATGTCAGAGAGTAATGTTATTGTGAAGAGGGACTATAACTATAATATTAGCGGTATTAAAACTCATGTGTAGTCATTAAACTTCTATGGCAGCTTCTATTTACATATTAAGTATGTTTGATTGTAGGACGCGTGAATGAAAATAACTGATAATCAAGCGGACAAAGCCTAATAGTGTAAGTACATTTCAAGCATTCAAGATCAAGATCGGAAAGACAGAAATTCCAGCAATAAATTCAATAAGGAATATTACTGACCGTTGAGTTAATGCGTTAAGATAATGCCATATCGCTTACTGGAAGTGACTGGCAAATTCCAAAATGACTGGCTAGTATGCCAGGAAGCCAAGGTGGGCCCGGTCGTGTCGCGACAGCTGCGTGATGCCGTTGTATAAGCGGACACGCAATTTGGCAGCAAATAGTCTTTAGGATGCAGTCATAGAATACTGTTCTAGCGGATTTCCTAGCGGAAAATTTTGCCATGATTTTTGTCAATGATTTATTGACGTAAACTTTGAACTTATGAACGTCAAAGAACCGGTAGCGATAGACAAACTATGGGAAACACAAAAAGAATTATAACTAGTAATTGGCCATGATGTGGCAAATCGAAAGGTTAATTAATTACCATGATCAGTCATCAAAGAGAGGTGGGATGTCGCCTAAGTACCATCCTAGACTGCATCTCATTTAACATCAGGTGTGATTACGGTCAAAATAGGACTGCCTTATTCTGCATAACAAAAATGACATCTAAACCCAATTCTAGATTATAAACTAACGAAACTTAAGACAGCAAATGACGTCGTATTAATTAAATACTAACTGTAATCATTATGCCATTTTACATTCGCTATATTCAACACTATGAACTCTCCCTGCTTATTGAAAAAGCGTACATATGTCGAACCAAACCCAAGGTTATATCAGTTCAGTGTTTCATGAGTGTCCGGTGTTGATATTTAAGTACGAGTGGATGCGTGAATGCGCAAACTAAAAATAACAAAGTACAGACGAGAGCACGTCAAGCTGGACACTGAGGGATCTTATTCTGTAGAAATAGGGGTGATTTTGCAATAAATATGTAAAGTCTAATGTGCTGTCGTATGTAGATACATAAACTGTGAGCGTAAAGGGGAGATTGGCAACAAAGTCTATAAATATAAATGGAGTGTCTGTTTGTAAAAGATTTTTACTAAATGCATTTAGTTTTCGTATAAGTACTAAAAAGTTTTAGTTTGTTTCGTCTAATCTAATACGATAAATTGTACCGAAATTATACGAAATAAATAAAAGAAACAAAATTTAAACTACTCAATTTAGTCTTATCTAGCAAGCGATCTCTTCTAGATCAGCGGTTCCCGAAAGGTGGTCTGCGGAACCCTAGGGTTCCGTGGAAAGGCCGCAAGGGTTCCGTAAATAATATTATCCCACGTTTCGTGACCGACGTTGTTCGCGCGCACCGACTTGTTTACGCACAAGGGAGGGGCAGGGCGTGCGGGCGGAGTAGTACGGGGGTTCCGCTAGGAAAAGTATAATCAATTAGGGTTCCTTGGCAAAAAAAATAATTGGGAAAGCCTGTTCTAGATTACCAAGGAAGACTAGGTACCTACTTAGTTCTATTCATGTAGTTTGTCTACTACGAGTAGAAACTAAGTAAAGTAGAAATTATTTTGTACTGAAAGATTTCCACTGAATAAAAATGTCTTTAATTAAGGGTAGATACTTACGCCAACTGATCTTCAGCAGATTGTTCTTCAACAAAACTCTCAAGGATAATAAAACGAATTATATTTCGAAATCTAATTTTTATTTCGTCGCATTTAGGACCCTACATAAGAAAAATACAATGCCAAAAAAAGTATTCCGATTTGTTCGCTACTTATTTGTTAAAAGTTTTTCTGTACAGACTCAGTACGTTATGGTTAGGGCTACAGTACACTGCGTAAGAGCGATAGCGATGCTATAAAAAGTTTTATTTATTGGTCATAACAAGAATAATAATATGAAGGACTTTACTTGCCATTCTAAACATCCGAAGTTCCAACTTCATTATTAAGTTGGTAATTTAGTAGTAATGTTGTTGAAACTACGTAGCTGACATACTCCTGTAAGTAGATATTTGGACAAGCTCGTGAAAGTTTGGATGAGTTTGAAAACGAATGAAAATTATTACAGTGAATTCATAGATTTTTTTAAAAATCAAGGTACATACATATTGCATAATGTTTTTTTTTCATTTTGACGTCATACTATCCAAATTCAGTGAAAAAAAAAAATCGATTCGATAGATTAATCCCCTGTCAATCATGCTTAAACTAATTCTAAAGGTAGCAATACTATCGCTCTTAGTACATTTTACTAATATCTGACTTACTAATTTATGCTTACTGCTTACTTAGGTTAAAATACTTCGGATTTGTAAAAATAGTTACAGTTAGGTTACATTTGCCACTAATAATATCTTTTTTATGTGACAGGAGGCAAACGAGCAGACGGATCACCTGTACAGCTAGTACGAAAAACTTTCGAGTTCAAATCGTTTGCGTACTCGAATCGCCATCAAAAGATTTAGTACGAAAACTACAACAGCGCCCTTGTGAACGTGTCGTAAAGTGAACTTAGTGTAAGAAATGGATGCACGAAATTCATTTTGAGAATCAAAATTGTCACGTTATCGTTTAATTTGAAGGTTGAGTATCGATTTTTATCGAATACGCAAACGATTCGAAGACGAAAGTTGTTAATGCTAGAGGTACTGATGGTAAGTGATTACCGTCGCCCATAGACACCCGCCGTCCCAGTGGCGTTACAGGTACGTTGCGGGCCTTTAAGGTGAAGATGCATTAAACATTTTGTAGGCCAAAATTACAAATTTAATACTTATACTCCAATATTCAGAAATCTACCTTGGGCCTGAAAATCCAGGATTTTTTTCCAAACATTAAATTTTGCCTCTTTCATTGGAAAGGTACCTTAAAATTGTTTAGGGTATTAATTCAACTGACATACGAAGTTCGCGAGTTTTTCATTTCTTCAAATTGGACTGCTCTTACTGTTCAATTTGCGAAGTTATAATCCTCAATCGAAAAGGCATCTTAAATGAAAGTAATAAAATAACATTTACATTGTGTCTATTGTAGCATAAATATACAATGTGTTGCGAATCGGTGGCTGAGTTTATTCGGAAAATTATTTTACTTTCAATAACTTTTAAAGAAATGTAATGTCTCTTCTCTGGTATCGTTTTATTATAGAGTTATCGTATTTATAGTATAACGTTCTATTAGGTTATTAATATAAATTACAGCAATAAATTGCCTGTGGTTGTAAAGACAAGTTTGTAAATTATAATTTTTCAGGCACTCTTCTTTCCCCGGTATCTCCTATGTTCTTCTGATTAATTTTGTGCAATGATAGTATAAATTTCTCCTAGGACAAGTTTAACCTTCACTGGTTGGGTTTTTATTGGTGGTCAAGCTGTAGATCCTGGTTACACAGGAGTTGCAGCAGTTGGAACGAGAGGTGGGAACAGTCCCGAATCTTTCTGATAAGTTTTTTTAGTACTATTAAAAGCTAAAGGTCACTTACTGACTCACTCATCACGAAATCTCAGAAACTAGAAGTGCTAGAAGTCTCAAATATTGCATGGGGGTTTTAGAACCTAGATGCTCACTAAGACGGGATTTTGCATAACTCAATCCCTAAGGGGGTAAAACGGGGTTCACCCATACGAGTCGCAGGCGGCCGCTAGTACTTACATAAATGAATTTCGTACTATTCTACAAATCCGAAGTACCATTTTTATTAGACACAAGAAATGGAAAGGTCAAGGCATGGTACCATTAGTCCATTAGTAGACAGATACTGTAGCGAAATTCCGTGGTCATAAACAATTAATATCCACATACAACCACATTATTATCTATGCAAAGAAACTACATCAAAGAAAGTTTAGTATTTCAATTAAACATCAATTTGTCGAATTAATATTTTTTTCCAAGCGTAGTTTCCCCACACGGTGTCTGCATATTTCACCTACAATTATTATTAACTTATTATTAATTTATGTCAATTGTGCACTATTAACAATATTTACAAACACCGACATAGTTATTTTATTTTATATTCATAAATCTTAAAGCGAAAGTTTCGTTAGGCCGGTCAATAATATTAATTGTTTAATATAATATTTAGGTCATTTCATATCTCATGTTGTACAAAAACTATTCTTTAACGAAAAGGATACATATTAATATTTTAAAGAGGTTACTTGTTTTATTAAAAAGATAATACTGACAACAGTCCCGCGATCTCTTCAACTTTTGACGCGGTTGAAGCCGCAGGCAAAACTAGTATATAATTTATAACAGTGAACTCTGATCTTTCAATTCAATATTTATCTATTTTCTATGTACATAAATTAACAATATATCAACCGACCTAAAGAATTACGTATTATACTTAAATATTTTATTGTTTCTATGAAACACGAAATTAATAAAAAGCGATATGCCGAAGTGATGTGTAGTTTATATAGAAATTATGTATTTTTACACATTTTTGAAACATGCGTTGTGAATAGAATATATTATGCAAAATATATTGTAATATTTAGACAATATAATAATGTCATACAAATACTTTTAACTTATTTTTACGTTTTGTGGCAGTGCCAATTGTGAAATAATTATATTTTATTTGAAATACAATTACAAGATTAGTACCAATACCAAAATTTACCCTATAATAGCCAATTATATAAATAAACTATATAACATTGCTAATAAATACATGAAAATATAGACTTATAATACTTTATAAAATACAGGGTGGCCCAGAAAGTAATGTCAAATCAAGAGATAGAATACCTTTCGGACTATATTTTTTTTAAACTCCAATTCTTATATCTCTATTGTCAATAAACTAATCAAAGAAGAAAATGTAACCAAGTTCAGTTCAATATTTTGATCTTAATGATTCATATAAATGAGATCGTCACAAATTATAACAATCTACAATACTGTACGACATCAAAGGGTACCTTGGAGTAGATAGATTTTCTGAATTTGACACTACTTTTAGACAACCGTATTAACACTTTAAAGATAAACAAACTAAAATAAATATTTATACGTGAAAAACAATTGGCAATGAAAATCAAATTTGAGACACTAAACGTAAATTAGTTCTACATATTACCTACTATCACATGGATTAAAATACTTCTGACTTCTATTTGCAATGTCAATATACACTTCACATAACAACATAATAGGAATTAATACTATAGTTACTAAATTCACAACAGCCTATATTATAAAACATCTTCACTAAAGTTAGACATTTCTTTGGTCATTCCAAAACACATCGAAATACTTCAAATCTTCCCTGAATTTATACACTTGCCAAAGTTACCTAATTTATACATCGTTATATATATTTTAATAAAAACAACCTGACTAAATCTCTGAGGAATAATTATTTATAAATAAGTAACGACTAGGTTTGAAACGTCTTATGCAACAACGTAAGTGAAAATCAACACAGTTAGACCGTGGTTTATATTAAAGTCTTAATTACATCACAGTATCGCGGTCTTTGGTGTCGACCTCAAGCATTGACAATCATAGAAAACTCTCAGAGGCTCTGGTCTCCTCTCGGTCGACGGCAGACACGATTTCAACACCCTCGTCATAGTTATGCACTTTGGTAGTATTATTCACACAGTAGTGCTGGTCAGGATCACCGTACTGGCTGTGGTAGAACTCCTCACGCATCATATGATTTAAATTAGAGCACCTGAAGAAGAGAATCTCTTGGAACGGCTTCCTAAAGTCTCTGTTGAGAGTCGCGTAAATAATGGGGTTAAGCAAACTGTTTATGTAACCTAACCATAGGAACAACGCACTGATGGCGTCTGGGATGGCCCCTTCTTCGAGGAACGGCCTTATGAGGGCCAGCACGAAGAATGGAAACCAGCAGATGACGAAAGCCGACATGATAATGCCGAGGGTTGTCGACGCCTTTCGCTCTTTAGCGAGCTGGAACCGCAGCTTCTTCTGGTGTGGCGAGTGGGTGGTGTGCAGTAAGTCTTTGGCAATGTGGCTTTTTTGAGCAAAATTTGAGAGGGACGAGCGAATTCTGTTCGCTGTAAGCTTGTTACTGCTCTCTGAGGACTGTCTTCGTCTCTCTTTGACCTGGAGTTTATTATTGTCTGGTGTTTGTCCCACTTGGGACGTGGAGCGGTTGATGGTGTGGATAGGTTTTGTGGGAGTCTTTTGGCCCAGCATCGGACACTGCGACTCGTTCGACTTTCGCTGCCCGCTAAAGCATCTCCCTATAGTGCTTTCTGTTTTCTCTACACTGATCTGTAAAGACAATAATTATGTGATTAGCCTTCAATTACAGGGCAACTGGTTTATTAAGTGTTGGTCGTAAATTTCCAAAGATTGTGACATCTTCAATTAAACAAAGCGAGAAATTGCACTACATTGTTTCGTGGGAACTAGTTTTTGCTGTAGTCATTGCTTGACAGACTTGAATCGACCCGTATGTCTTTAAACAAATTATGGTTCCTTGTTTCAAAGGTCACAAGTTAAGGCGTCGGTTCAATTGGGTGGTTGATACCACGTCTTTTTTATTGTCTGTCTCGACTTTTTCATAAATTATGTATGGGAAAGGAATTTGTAACGAATTTTTTAGACAACTCAATAGATTGATTTTTTAATAATTCCTTAGAAACAACTCAAGTAATGTGTTATTGTGTGTAGTGCCTTATTGATTGATGATGTCTACAACCCATTTGAGTAATACGAGTACTATTATCAGGTTATGTTATGATCTCAGCGTTACTACGTAGTACTTATTATTATTCTGTGGCGTTACCTACAATCTACCACTATAAAACAAGATTGTTTAATTCAAGTATTATACTTACAGTAGTATTTGTGCTAGCAGTAGACCCTCTGGCAGTTGGTTGAGCCGCCTGCGACCCAAGTAACCTCGCTTCAGCCGCCCCTCCATTCTTGACATTGATCTCAAGATAGCAGTGCGTCTCAAGATGCGACTGCGCTCGCTTCTCATCCTTCACAATCTTCCTAGCAGCGCTAAATATCTTGTAATAAACAACCATCATCACCGTGAGCGGTATGTAAAACGAAACGAGCGTCGCGTAAATCTGATACACCTTATTTTGGGACACCAAACATGACGTGTCAGTCTTCTCATTGCCCAAAATTAGAACTGGCGGCAGCGATATGAAGGCGGCACTCATCCAGACTATGAAGACACAAAAAAACATTCTCCGAGGCGTTCTCTTGACACCGTACTCCAAGGGTTTCGTGATCGCATAGTATCGGTCAACAGATATCATGCACAGGTTGAGAATACTGGCAGCGCACGAGAGAACGTCACTCGATACCCAGAAATCACAGATCACAGGTCCGAAAGGCCATGTTCCCATTATGTCGTACACCATAGCTATCGGCATCACTGTGATAGCTACGCACAGATCGCTCACTGCCAACGATACGATCAAGTAATTGCTGGGTCTTCTCAATTTTCTGACTAAGCACACGGCGACGCAAACAAGAATGTTGCCGATGATGGTCCCAGATATGACTATGAGGAATATAATGGAGAGAATAATACTGAAGGCGGTGGAGTATTTGTAGTGCTTTATGTGGATTGGCTTAATTAAAGTCGAATTGTCGTCGAACAGAGTCCAGTTAAGTGTGGAGTTCGGACTGGTAAAGTTGACATCAATGTCAAGCGATTCGTTGATGTCTTCCGAGGCCACCACAGCGTTGACTTGGAGCAATACTAAAGATACCAGTATGAGAAGACGCGAAGATAAAGCAACAAAGTTGGGCAGTGAACAGTAGTTAAGACTTTGAGTCGCCATACGAATCCCTGGCTTGGGTGTCGTTGAAGATCGTTCTTTTGACTATGCCATACATTGGTTTTGATTGTCTTCTTTTTGTTTCCTCGCGATCAAAAGCAGGATGCAAAACGAAAAGAATGCTGAGTCAGGTCTGAAAAACTACTTCGTCATGTAACTTTTTGGATTTCCGTGCTTGATTACAATTGGGAATCAGTTCTAATTGACATATCGCTTGGATTGACTTTCCAATCCCGGGCATAGCCATTGGAATCCGGGTCGTTCGGGGTTTTCGTTCTTATGGCTTGGGTAATACAGTTTGTTTTCGCTTGCAGTGACTTTGGTATAAATTGGTAGAGCTTGTTGGTTGTTTTATTGCTTGAAGGTAGTTCGAGTGGCTGCTAGTTCAATATCCCGTCTGTGGGAAGCTTCATTAGTGCCGTTGATTGGTGAAGAAATTTTCCAATCTGAAAAGAAAGAAAAAGTGTTTAACTTCGGATACAAATCGCTGGGGAGCTAAAAGGTTAAAAGTTGACGACCAATGTTCAAGCTTTTGTATGTTATTTTTTGCCGATTCTCCATATTTTAGCGACTCATTATTATGGATGGAATATAATGGTTTCGAGTATCATTGAGCCGTAAAATGTTGTAGCATTTTCCATCCATTACATCTATTTTAATATTGTGGAATATATTGTTGATCTGAGTTAAAAATTATTATTTAAATCTGAATTGAACAAAAACCTTTTAATGTGTTACCATGAAATACATCTAAATCTGCGATAAGTCCTTCTAGAGTCTGACAAGTGGATAGTCTTAAACGACATAATATGCGCCTCTTGAAATCTTGAATCTCAAAACGATGTACCTAATCAGTCGCTATATATTCCAATTCATATTTGCAATGTCTCTAGTTATAAAAAAAATAGGGTTTGTATTAAACTGTATCTACTAGTAAGACCATGGAAGCTTCACTAAAAGTCATCATTTTTGATATTGCGATACTATCAATAACATAACCCAACATGACTTCATTTACCTACGCCATTGAGCTATACATTCCATAATCGTTCCGACGTGGTATCCGTTGAATGTGGAAACGTTTTCAATGGCTGCAGACGCTCCGCGTGCTATGTGGGTCATGGTTTCCCTTATAAAATATAGGCTCGTTTCTAATGTTAGGGCTCTTATACACCTTGATGGTAATTTTATGGCTTAAGCTGGAACAAGGTTGTATCTGCTAGCTTTTTAGTACCTAAGTAATATTTATGTTGGTTAATTTTTATGAATAAAGCAGTTTGTGACTGTAAGGCATTCGATATTTTGCTACGATCATATTTTATTTACAAAACAAATCACTTTCGCACTTAGTACTCTCTGATCACCGAATAACATTCGGTAACGTTTCTATCCTTAAAATACCAAGTAACGTTATAATTATTTTCTTTAATGTATGAGGAAAAATTACTTTTAGATCAATTATTACTTATTTATTCAAGATACTAATTTATACATTTCCAACATTGTAACACCTTAAAGTTAGTACTTCTTGCTTTTAATGCTCCAATCGAACTGCCTGTCCGGCGGCATGCGCGCGATAAGGCAACTTCCCCTTCCATTCGTCAAAGTCAACCGGCTCGAAACGACTTATCGACAGCATGCCCCGGAAGTAGTCAAAATCAATACTTAAATAACAATTTATTTCTAAATTACTAAACTGTATACAATAAAAATTCTAAAATAATAACATTAAATAATAAACATGAAATATGTAATTGAATATAATACAGAATAAATTCTGAAACCATTATAATATCTGCAACAATGTCCAGGAAGTAATCAAGTAAAGTATTTAATTTTAATAATGGGTTTTTAAATTCTACCAAAATTATTACAATAACTATCTATAAGCAACTAATAATCGTATAAAATACAATATTAATTCTAAAATCATTACATTCGGCCATCCGTCACCGTGATGCCTCCTGGCATTCACGTCTCATAAAGATAATAAAATCATTAATTCATTCGGCCTGGTATTCCCGTCTTAATAAATATATAATATTCTAAAATCATTACTATTAATTTGTATATATAATATGAATCATATTATTTATACAACTTATATAAGTGTTATTATCATGTGCAAATTTTGTTAAGAAAATGAAGAAGATACTGAATTTTATTTAATTTTGTACATTAGGAAACTTAAAAACTAATCCACGTAACTTAGGTACTATGCACACACTGTTGGGTACAGGCACAGCAGTCTTTACACAATAACTTTCCTTAGATAATACCTATTACTTATAATATTAACTTTAATTGCCCACAGAGAGCATAATAATATGCCTACCTAATGAGCATACTGTTCATTATTTGTTTATCACTTTACTACATCAGAATTATGTATGCACACACTGTTGGGTACAGCAGTTTATACACAATAACTTTCCTTAGATAATACCTATTACTTACAATATTAACTTTAATTGCCCACAGAGAGCATAATAATATGCCCACCTAAAAAGCATACTGTTCATTATTTATTTATCACTTTGTTATTCAGAATTATGTTTGCACACACTGTTGGGTACAGCAGTCTATACACAATAACTTTCCTTAGATAATACCTATTACTTATTAACTTTAATTGCCCACAGAGAGCATAATAATATGCCTACCTAAAGAGCATACTGTTCATTATTTCGCGATAAGGCAACTTCCCCTTCCATTCGTCAAAGTCAACCGGCTCGAAACGACTTATCGACAGCATGCCCCGGAAGTAGTCAAAATCAATACTTAAATAACAATTTATTTCTAAATTACTAAACTGTATACAATAAAAATTCTAAAATAATAACATTAAATAATAAACATGAAATATGTAATTGAATATAATACAGAATAAATTCTGAAACCATTATAATATCTGCAACAATGTCCAGGAAGTAATCAAGTAAAGTATTTAATTTTAATAATGGGTTTTTAAATTCTACCAAAATTATTACAATAACTATCTATAAGCAACTAATAATCGTATAAAATACAATATTAATTCTAAAATCATTACAAATGTATCATTTTGCGTACTCAATTAGGCCAAATGGTACGTTTTAACCGCCAGACTAAGCTCTTGTTTTTTTTACCCAGGAAACATCCTAAGGCCCAGTTTTTTTAATCATAGTTAAAATAACTAATTGTTAAATTTTGCTACTAATGGTTAAATATTATCTAAGGGTGGGTTGCACCATCTTACTTTAATTTTGACAAACGTCGAAAATCTGTAAAACTCCATACAAAAAAAACACCGGCTATCGTTAAAGTTACGGTCAAAGTTAGGTGATGCAACTCAGCCTAAATGTAAACCAATAGTTAAAAAATGTACTAAAAGTCAAGCTAACCATTGTTCAAAAAACATTTTTTTCTGATATCTAACCACTTGTCATCTGACATCTGTCAAATTTGACCATTGGTTATTTTAACTACGAATCAAAAAACCTGACTTATGCCCGTTTTCACCATCAATCCTCAATTTTTAAGTGACCTCTAAGAAAACAAAATGCCTGTTATGTGCTACCATAGGGATCACTTAAAAATTAGGGATTGATGGTGAACACGGGCATTAGTCAACTTTAAATAATGTAATTTGAATTTCAGAGAACTGAATAACCATTCGATAACATTCTGTCTCAATTTTAATATTTTCCAGCGGTATGAAATTACGATGCTCATAATTTTAATCAACACGCCACTCAATTGAAAAGGCGCGCGAGTATTACCTCCGGGTGCCGTCCTGGCATTCAATCAAGCTGGATCATGTATTTATTATCTAGGACACGTACTATACAGGGTGTTAGGTAAATGGGTATATGAGCCGACACTAGCCCATGTTAACATGGGCATATAAATGGTATGGTGAAGTCAGAAAATTGATATCTTCATTTTTATTATTTTAATTTTCATACAAATGGGATTTTATAAAATTTATTATTTTGTAAGAAATTACAAAATAATAAATTTTATAAAATCCCATTTGTATGAAAATTTTATATAATTTTCATTAAAAAAAATATATGATAATATCAAATCAAATATGCCCATGTTAACATGGGCTAGTGTCGGCTCATATACCCATTTACCTAACACCCTGTATACAGGACAAAGAATTTTCACTGATATTATTACTGGGAAAATGTCCAGGAATTCTAAATTTTTGGCCCCTTTTGGAGATTATTCTGCAAATCAAAAGAGTTTGTATGGAAATTAAAATACAAAATGTGATGAGACTTTTGTTCAAATATTCATTAATACTTCAGTCTTAGCAGAAACCAGCACATTTCATTATTTTGAGACGCCGTCTGCATTTACTTAAAATATTTTTAATAATTATGGAACTGTATAGTAGTAAAGCCTCAGTCACACCCACAACCTCCAGCATCCTACATGTGACACAAAATCGCAAAAATTACACTTTTATCAAGAGGTGATGAATTTTAAAGCTGTGAACGAGCCCTAAGGGTTCCCATTGAAGGAAATAAGTGACCGAGCCCGCTTTCACCGAGCGATGACGCGGATACATCGCTAATGGAGTCTAAATAGAACACGCGTAAACCAACGTTATTATGTACTTTGTATAGTACATGATTTTTATATAAAAGCACCACGTGTAGGTCGCGGGAAACACACAAGCACGTTATAGGTAGTACTTTGTATAGTACATGAGTTTTATACAAAATCACCACGTGTAAGTCGCAGGAAACATAAGCACGTTATAGGTAACTAGGTACTTTGACATGATTTTTTTTCTATAAAAGCACCATGACCTGTCGAGGGAAATATCTGGATACCGCGCAGGACTGTTGTGGAAATTTTTTAGAAGTTAAATCATGTTGCCATGCGAAAAAAATACACGACATTTGAATAAGTTATGTCATAGATAGTTACATGAACATGGCGCTCATTTAAAACGCATAAAAACACCATCAGATCTACGCAAATCAATCTCCAGATCTAAATTGCAA